GCCCTGCTTCCTGTATTCCCCAAAGTACCATTAGCATAATGCAGTTGTATATAACAGAACTTTACAGAAGGCTTAGAAACACTGAGAAGGATTATGTATTAAGCGTGGTTCTAGCTTCTGTAAACTTAATGTTTTAATATCTGCCCTACATGCACATACTGGACATGCCTTGTTCTGGACAATCCAATAATATGCTTGAGTCACCTTGTCTTGGCTTCTTGCCTCCATCAACACCCCTGCCCCCTCTAGAGGAGTCCTTTGAGGGCATGCCTTTCAAATACAAACCAGCCAATACAGAGTCCATACCCCCAAGGACCTTTTTATAGGGCTCTCGTGTTCTTGGCCATTATCCACCTGCCCTAATCACCCCCAGACAACAAGGGACAGCCCCTCTATCCATCCCTACACCCCTCCTTCACTGTTTCTTTCCAAGGAAACCGCAGTAAACTCTTATCCACAGTTCTTCTTCCTTCTTCTGCTTCATGACCAACCCTGGTGCTTCCTCACGTGGTCCCAGGTGGCAGAGCGTGCCCACTTCCCTTGGGAGCTGTGAGTAATACACTATCTTTTCAGTGGCAACCGTTTGCTGATCCATTGGCCTTACTCGATCTCAAATTTTCTATGAATATAGTATGTTCTTGAATAGACCACAACAGGGCACAGAACAGGAATCGATTTACAATTTACTAGTAAATATCACTGTTCTTTACAAGGAACAATCTCCCCTTACAAGAAATTTCCTAGCAGCTGTATTTTCATGGTTCTGCTCTCCTCACTGAGGCCATTACTCCCTATGGTTTCTTGTCTTCCCATCCTTGGGGTTCTCCACCTCCCTCCCCTTCAGGTGGCAGCAGAATTTAGGAATGTGCCTATTATTCCACCAGTCAGAACAGCTTCATTTTCCATGACTAAAAATCCACTAACATTTTTCCTAAAGAAAAGAGCTGTCTGCCTTTAAGATAAATGCTGCTCTTCCCTACGACATGGATGTAAAGGAACAGTTTCATCTTTTAAAGCGCATTTTCTTCCTGTTAAATATGTATCTAGTAAATACAAAAACAATCCATACAAAAAAGATTCCAAGGGCACTTCAACTAAAATATTAACTAATATTAACAGTTTAAAATTTGTTGTAGACTCATTACTCACATTACTTGAGTTCGCACGTGATGACAAAAAAATAATTTGTATATAAGAATTAATAGCTTTCCTATGTATCAACAATCAGCAGCAGGAAATAAAATGGAAACTAACCCACTAAAAATAACCATAAAAATTATAATACCTAAGAATAGTCTTAGCAAAAAAATGTAGAGAAGCCATAGTAATAAGCTCAAAGCTTTACAGAGGACATAATTATTTAAATCCGAATAATGGAGAAATAAGCCACAATGCGTGAATTGGGAGTCTATGCATATGATAAAGATGACACTTCACGTCAGAGGGAATAATAAAATAGTCTGTTACTGGTTCTTTAACAACCTACTAATTACTTTGGAACAAAAGATGATGTTCTTAACACATACGATATTCCAAAATAGGTTCCAGGTATATATAAATATTTTCAAATAAAGTACTAGGACAAGAATGTAGAATAACTATATAAAGTAAACTTGGAGCGTGAAAGTCTTTCCTCAGTATGACAAGAGACACAATAACCACAAAGGAGGAAGTGAATAAAGTTGACTATATCAAATAATGTTATAACTCAAAAACATCATTATCAAGTCAAAATATAAACAATAAACTGGGGAAATGTCCCCTCTATATAAAGAGACCTTATCAAATAATAAAAACCTCAGGACAGAATTGGCTGACGGGTATAGACAGGCAACTCACAAAACAAGGAAAGCAACTTGTCAATAATACATGGAAAAGTTCTCAATAGTTAAAAATGTTCACTGCTTTGCTCAGTGTTATCATGGCAGGAATCAGTGGAGAGACAGATATCTCACATTTTGTTGGTAGGAGTATAAACTGATAGAAACTCATGAAAAATGACAGCTTGGCAGTGTGTGTCAAAAGCCTCTGATACAGCAATTCCACTTCTGGAAATCTGTCTGAAGGAAATTAGTAGACAAATGCACAAAGTTAAACATGCAAGAATGTTTGTTGCAGCAAATTCTGAGAATAGAGGAATTCCAAACTGTCCCCAACTAAAGGAGATTAATTAATTATGGCACATTCTGACAATCGGATGCCAAGCAGAAACTGAAACTATTATGAAGAGCTGTTAATTTGAACTTAAAAATGTTCATGATGTGTCGCTAAGAGCAAAAAGGGCCACAGAAATGTTTATAGAGTGTGATTTCATTTTCATAAAAGTCAAATAAGTATGTGCATATATTTGCAATGAAATGTATCTAGAAAGCTATCACCAAAATAGTAAAAATTGTGTTGTGCAAACTTTATAAGGACAGCAGTGAAATAAAAATAGCAGCATTCATTCAGGCTTCCACCATTTTGTCAAGACAAAATCATTTCACTTTCTGTATTCTCTTCGGTTTGCCTTATAAGCAAACAAAATTTGAAAGAGTTATCATAACCAATGACAAAACCCTCCTTAGAACGCAAGTGTATCAGAAACGGAAAAACCACTATGAAAATGGGTGGAAGGATGGATGGATGGACAGACAGATGGACAATTGTTCACCCACAGAAAGGCACAGTGTCAATCACTGTCAATGTCACAGTTTCCGTGGACTTTTACCAAGACTCAGAAGTGTGGCTGAGAGAAAGCGAAGCAAGTTGTCACCCTCCTGAGCACAGTTTCACAAGGCGAAGACTTCCCCACAATTTTTTTAAAGAAAAATCTGTTGACAGAGCTATTGTCAAAACGAAAGAAAAATCACTAGAGGAAGCCGTGTGAAAGCAAGGCCAGGAAGCCCCAGAGAACTTAGTCAAAGGGTAGCACCTCTGTTCTCACACCACCAGCAGGTCCAGCCTCTCCCCAAGCTGGGTTTCCAAGAGGCTGGCACTCAGCCAGCCAAGCCTCTGCGAGGACCATCTTGGCGGGAACTACTCCACTTGCTTTTACATTGGGATGTGGCACAGAAGACCAGTCATGTCCTTCGTAGCCCTTGCCAGTGACATCTGACATCTTTCTGTGAGATTGTCTAATTAATTCTGTCTCTGCAGCTGAACCATGAATGACTTAAGCCTGGACTCCACCTCTATTTGCACACCTTCGTGTCCCCAGCACAGCGCCAGGCACAGATAGCCTCTCGATATTTTTAAACGAGTGAAGGAGGGAAGGAGAAGGGAGGGAAAAGCCAGCGAACTCAGATTTGGACTAGTATCTCTCCCTTTTCTAGCCTTAATCTCTTCATCTAAAAATAGGGATTTGCCCGTGACATAAGATTATTGTACAGACTAAAATTAAATAAGATCGGTCCACAGCTATCAGAGTAGACTCTTCACACCTACAAACTCTCTCCTAGCTTCTCCTCTCTGAGTCCCAGTTGGAGCTCCACGACCTATGAAATATGTAACTAAGTCCTCAAGATTAAATTTTTCGCCTGTTAGCAGTCATTCAGGATTCCACCCTGTAAAATACGGGATTCGACGGATGATCTTTAAAGACATACTCACCCCTAACATTTTCTCTTTTCTTTATTCATTCAGTTTTTTTTTCATTGAGGCATAGTCGATTTAAGCAACATTGTGTTGGTTTCTGGTGTACAGCATAGTGATTCTCCTAACATTTTGTGATGCAAGAGAAACACCCTGAAAATTGTCCCTGGGAGAAGAGGGTCACAATGCATTCTGGTTGCCAGAACTGGATGTGGCACTTAGAAGGAGCCCAAGTTATGGAAGTAACACCGAAAATATTACTAAAGAATAATATCAAACTTCACTCTACTTGGAGAGTGGAAAGAGGAGTTCATTGTCAGAATATATGTATCTCTGACAAAGGATCATCATTAAAATCAGCTTACTCACCAACAAGGAGCATTTGATGCAATTGCATCAAACCTGTCCTTGTGAAAAAAAGAGAAAACTTTCTTCCTCCTCCGTCAGCTGCCAGTGTAACCTGTGTCATCCAGCACACTGTGGCTCTTGTTCACGGAGCCGTTGTCCTTCTCAAGAGATGGTCCTTCACCCTAACAAAAATAACTATGACTCACTGGTCCCAGGAATATTTTCTCCCTTGTTTTGTTCACAGTATGAATGACAGATTTCAGTGTATTTCTTGCATAAGTAAAAGTTGCTGTTGACCTGAAGTGATCTATATTGCAAATGCAAACTGTTGCCTTTTAATTTCAAGTTTCAGGCAACTGTGCAGTTCTAATTAGGGGTTTGTAATTCTCCTAAAGGAAGGAGATGAATAACAATGAGGAAAAAGAAGTTTCACAAAGAATAGAAAGCCTATTGATATTTAAGGTTTTTTTCCCCAGATTCAACTGTTAATGTGATGTGAAAACTAGAAGAAAAATATTCCCTTCGTATTTATTTTTCCCTGAGTATTTAGTATTATTTAGTATTTCGTCTTATCTTTTCTATGGCATCCCTGATCGAAGTGGTCAAAGAATTTTGCAGGTCTCCAGGTTTCCATAAAGAAAAAAAAGCATTTTACACAGACACACAATGCTTTTTTTCTATTTTCTCTGTTAAAAGATGATTTTTTTCTGTAAACATCCCTGCACCATCTAATCTAACATTCAGTTTTTCCTTGTGAATTACTACAGTAATTTTTATCTCTGTAGCTGTGTTCTCTGAGAGAATCTTGGTTTCTCTACTTAGATCACTTGCCACACGTTCTTGGAATTCCTTGCCCAGTTCCTTGTCTGACCAGAAAAATGTAATCTCCTTCAAGGCAGAGCCCATTACTGGTTCCCTCAATAAATAAATTATTTAACAGAAAACTAGTGAATAAGTTAATTCAAAGGGAATATATAATACGTGTAAAATATATCATGCTCCCTAGGGAAAAAATTTATATAATTCTTTAATGTCAGGTGTACGATTCAAAAATTCTAATGTGATTTTATTTTTTTCAGCTTTAGTGACATATTACTGACATATTTGTAAGTTTACGGTGCCACTGTGATGATTGGATACATGTATATATTGTGAAATGAATACCACAATAAGGTTAGTGAACACTTCCATCCTCTCCATAATTACCTTCTTGTGTGTATGTGATGATAACCTTGAAGAACTACTGTGTTAACAACTTTCAAGTATGCAATACGGTATTGGTAATTATAGTCACCATGCTGTACATTATTCATCTTGTAGCTGGAAGTTTGTGTCCTTCAACCGACATCTCTCCATCTCTCCCACCCCCCAGCCCCAGTAACCACCATTCCAACTCCCTATTCCTGTGAATTGGGCTTTTTTAGAATGCCTTTTTTCTTTTTCTCTTTTTTTTTAAGAGGAAGAGGTAATTAGGTTTGTTCATTTATTTACTTTTTTTTAAGTGGAGGTACTGAACTCGGGACCCTGTGCATGCTAGGCAGGCACCTTACCACTGAGCTATCCCCTCCCCCTGGGCTTTTTTAGATTCCATGTGCGGGTGGAAACGCACAGTACTTGTCCTTCTCTGCATGACTTCCTAATACAGTCTTAAATGTAGCGCACATTGGGCGGCGGTTTCTAAAACGTTCAGAGCCAAGATGAAGCACTAAGACAATAGCGTCACGGACAATTCCGTGATCTCCTTCACGGAACGTCAGCGTTTTCATTCCACGTCTCGGAACCCCAGGAATGAACATCACTTCTGACGTTAAAACAAGAATACTATTCACGTTTATACCATATTATAAATATTCATAAGCCTTTATAGTAAATTCGTACCAAATGAAATGGCTTTCAGGACCTCTTACATTTTTGCAACTGCTTGAAATCAGATATTCATAGACTGTTAGGATTTGGAAGGGACCTTCGGGGTCGGAATCTCTCAAGCTGCCCCAGAGAGCAGGCTGGTGCCTCACCAGCAGACTTCTGGCTCCTTCTTCAGGACCCTGAGTGGCCCTCCCACCACCCCCACCGCCATCTCTTTACTTTTCCAGTCAGCCGCGAAAAGTCTTCAGTCTCAGGAAAATTTTAATCACCCAGCAGAAACCATCAATTAATGTAAAATGTGAAATTTTACCTATAATCTTGACAGATTCTGAATTTTGCCCTTACATTTGCCTTCCACTTTTTCCAAAAAAGCCATCCCGGCCTTTAGACAGACAACCAACGGTGTGTTGATATAACAAATCACAGCCTTAACAAAACTTAGCAGAAAATTCGGCTCCCCGACATATTACCTACAAGGAGCACCTCCGCTTGGGCTGAAGCGCAGAGCGGGGCAGCACCGCCACCTAGTGGTCCTCTCGGGGGACTTTCTCTCTGCCAAAATTACCATTCTTCGCGTTTCTGGCTTAAACATCTTTCTTTAAGAGCTAGGGACCCAGACAGGGTCCTGAAAAGATTTCTACAATATTACAGGAAATCCTCCAAGCAAATAGGACTCATCTACCATAAAGTCAACGGAGACCAGAAACACTTTAGAGCAGAAACTTCAGTTTTCATATCTTTCACTTTATTTATCTGTTATTTAAATTGCACTCCCCCTCCACCCCCACCCTCCAACTACTGCCTAAGTAAAAGGAGACAAAACTGGAATTGACAGGAGTGGCTTGAAGTGCACCATTTCACAGAAACCCTCAAGGAGACAGAAGAATGCAAAAATGAAACAGAAACATGACATTTATCTGTTTACCAAAGTTAGTGTCTTGAGCCAAAAGAGCATTTGATCGTGGTTAGGAAAGAGAAAATCAGATTTTTTTCCCCCAGTTTACTTGGCTGTTAATAGAATTCCGACTTTGAACTTGAACATCCTTGTCCTTGTGCTGTGTGTTTACTTGGGCTCACGTTCTTTTGATATAAGGCAAAATGACACTTTTTTAAAGCGACTACCATCCCCCTTGAGGACTGACTGCTTGTTGAGGGATTAATCCTGAAGGAGCCTCCACTGGTTGCTATGTCCCAAGTCCACAAACATCCTTGCTTTATGCCCCTTATCTTTTGTGTGGTACATGCATTCTATTCCACATGAAAGAAGTTTGCTATTCTCTAAGGGAGAGAGACCATAAAGATAACTTATTCAATTAATGTAAGAGTGAATTTGGTCATTTCAGAAAGAAAGGTAATAGAACTGCTTGAGTTAGTAGCTTAAAGGGGACTCATTAGTAAGAAGGAAACCCTCGTGTCATGGTTTAAAGAACCATGGTTTTTCATGGGTACGAGTGATACGCTGCAGAGTGTCTCCCACTTTCCCTGGGTGTGTGACTCCTCAGACAGTAATTCCAACAATTATTTAATTATGCCCACATGCCTTGTGTTGAAAGTCACCCCGAGTTTTCAGAAACTGGATGATTAAGAAACCAGATCTGAATCTCACAAGAGGAGAGTTCTGAAACCATCCTTTGCACAACCTGGGCTAAGTCTTTATTTCTGCATTTTGTGAAGGAACACAGTGCCCCCTGTGGGCTGGGTAGGCTTGTCCAGAGTGAGACTCCCCCAAGCTGCTCAGCCTTATTCCACCTGGAAAGGGGTAGGGCAGAAACACAGAGCATTGTCTCAGCTGTCACTTACATGGCACTTAATGGCCAGGCAGCCAAGAAAAGGTGAAAATATCTCGTCAGTGCAGAGGTTTCTCCTATAAGGGTGAATGGCCAATTCTAGGAAATTTTTCTGTAGTTGGACAAGAGCTAAAGAGAACCAAAACTGAGGCAGAAAATGACTACCAAGGTAGGAGAGCTAAAAAAAGGAAGGGTTGTGTCTTTCTCACGACCTCCCTCTCCCACTTTTCTTGTTCACAGAATTAGCAGCTGGCTCTGACCTATTGGGAATTAACTAACATCGAAGACCCTGCTCCTTTCATGGCCTCAAATCAGGGCATTTGCTGCTGTTTCCTTCAGGAGAAAAGAGGAAGGACATCTATTGTCTCAAAGGAATTTCGAAGGTAATACTTTCTTTCTGAAAATTTTCCCCAACCTAGTGTGAACCACCATAGAAGCAGTTCTTCCTCTGACTGGGGAAATCACCAACTTCAGAATAAAAATTAGTAAACAGGATCCACAGTATTACTTCTCAAATGTGCCCAAATAGGGTCATCTTGGGGGCGCGTCATTCTTTTTTTCCTCATCAGCCTTCTTTTTTCAATAATGACGGTTTGTGCAAATACACAGTTTGCTGTCAGGTGGAACTCAGCTGTTTTCATTTTGAATTTTTAAATGCTCCATTAGCACATTTTCCCTCCCCTGGGTCATCATGAAATGCCAGACTTCCTTGGCTGGGCAGCCTTGCTAGAAGAGCGTCTGATGAAAGACTAGAAGAGAGGGCGGAGAAGGGGAGGCCACCAGGCACGCGGGCACGTGGCCTGAAGCACATCGCACTTTGTATTCAAATGCCGGGGGTGCGCTCCTTTGCTGTCAGGTCTTGCCATCTGGGTGCTTATTATCTTTGGAAAGGAAAAGCAAACCCAGCGTCGAGCTGCTGAACCTTCAGATGTTACAAGAACGGTCTGGGGTCTCTTTTATATAACAAGCCAATGATCTTGGTTGCTAAGGATACGTTTTCACCACAAATATGTAAAGCAGAGAGGCCTTGACGGAAGGTTAGAGACACGGAATAGAATTCTACAGCGAGGCTGTTTTCCTTACATCTGAGCGTGTGTGTTTTTTTAATGGTATAATGCTTTCGGATGGAATAACAAGCCCAGAGTGTTCAAAAATAATCTAAGAAATCAACCTTAATAAAAATCAGATCCTGCAGCCTAACCTACAAAACTGTAACTACTACAGCTAATGCTAATTATATATAAAATATATATAAAATTTGGCTGCAAAAAAAGAGAGGGAAATCCTGCCATTTGTGACAACATGGGTGAAACTTGAGGGCATTATACTAAGTGAAATGAGTCAGACGGAGAAAGACAACATGGTATGATCTCAGGTATATGTGGAATAATCTTTAGAACCATTTTTTTTCATTTGCACAGTTCATTTATAAATTCTTAGAAGTGTGAAACCAGTTCAGTTCCTAAAAGTTTCCTGAGTTTTTTCCCCTCAATTGCTACTTTCAGCCAAACACAAAATGTTTCCTCTTCAACAAACAAACCATCCTGAGAAACTCTCTGAGCAAATACAGGAAGCTTGGCATTTAGTTCAGTCTCTCTGTGTAAAGGATAATGCTCTAAGTTATGAAAATGAAGGTGTTCTCACTTAACCCAGATGAATAGATCTGCCTCATTCTTACCACCACTCTATTACTCACAATATTAAATCTCACTGTGAAAAATTGTATTGATTAAGTTAATAAGTGGGAAAATGAATCACCAAAAAATGTTAATCAAATGCATAATTTATGGTATTACAAATACATTGAACACTCCCTGTGCCTCAGGTATGTGACTCTCAAACACAAATTTCAGCAAATCTTTCTTCTTCTAACTCAGGTTCATACTGAAAGTAATAATCATGCTGACTCTATGAATAACTTTTGCCCAAAAGTCCTCCCTGAAAAGAATACAGAAATTACTTTTCCCATTAAAACTTCTATTATTGATGATTTCTCTTCCTTCTTCCAGTCATCATTAAAAATAACTAATTTAAATCTTTATAAAATGACTCGGAAATCTAATTTGCCAGAGACCCTAAAGAGAATGAAGACATCTTCAGTTTTTGAATAAGGAAACCTAATGAAAAGTTATTCATCTGCATGATTAATAGGGCAACCAAATGTTGGACACAAGATGTGTCATTGGCTCCAGCTGTCAGTCCCACCCTGAAGAGAAGGCGCAGAGTTCCCTGGGTTTATCCTGATCCTCCATAACTCAGGGGCTGGTGGGGTCAGTGGCAGGAGGTTCTTCCCAAATACTGTTGCTCTGATCTTCCATTCTGCACAGGACTGCCCTTTCCCAAAGGTCCCAGAGGGTAACAGAAAGGAAAATCCAGTAAGAAATTCCTCAGGTTCTAAATACAAATGTGTTAATGCGACAGACAGAAAATTGATTGTGGGTTAAGCAGTGAGAAGAAATGTTATGATAAGTAGAATTCTAAGGTGGCCCCAAGATTCTTGCCGC